TTGTTGTGAATTATAGTATTTTTTTACCTAGTTTACAAATATATAAATTTCATTTCAAAAAAATTGAAGATTTCATGCGCAAATTTCCGGTCAAACTTAAATTGTTTGACTCTCGAAAAATAAAAAGTGTGACATAAATTAGGACAGAGGGAGTATTAAATAAGCAATGGTAAAATTACCTGGTTTCTCAAGGAGTGTAAACCTAAAATGGTGACAACTATATAGAAATGGAGAGAGTAAGAGTTTAACTTTAAAATATTCATTCACTCTTAATGAAATGATTTATATATAATCACATAAATATTTATGACTTGTTTTAAATTACATAAATTTCAAAAAAATAATTAAAAATTTAATATCAAGTAAAATTATCACATAAAATGAAACGAGGGAGCACTACTTTTCAAATGCATGCCTAAATAAGTCAGAAAGGTGGTAGTATATTGGATTTCATCTAGAGGTAAAAGTGGTGCACAAAAAGTAGTAAGAGGTAATTTTTCATTTTGTTGAAAGGACTGATGAATTGCAGCAGTGCCTTTAACATTGACTGCAAAGAGAGGGAAAAAGAAAATGTACCAACTACTCAATATTGGAAATGTGTTTTAGATTAGACTAATAAAAGTTGATTGCACAAAAATTCATTTTGCAATAATCATGGTATCAAAGACTTTCCTCATTAACTTTTGGTTGTGTGGTAAATATCAAATATCTAGATTTTATAAAGGAACTAGGACTTGGGGCAAGTGTATGTAAGCTAGAGTTTATACAAACAAGTGCAACTCAACTTCAAGTTACTTTGTTATATTCTATTCTTTTTAATCTTATTCATATCTTTTATACTTAAAAATAATTTAATTTTACTTCTTTTCTTTCATTTATTATGCACTATATCAAATACAATTTAAGTCGAGTACACGTTATTTAACTTATAGTATTTTTTTATATAGGGTTTTAACATTTTAACCAAGTGGATAAAATTATATCTATTCACCTAACAAGAGGTAGTTGTTCGAATGGTAATTATATTTCACTTTCAACCCTAAAGTTGTGAGTTCGAGTCACCAAAAATAGGTCCTCCTAGGAAAGGGTAAAAATGTACACACTATTATTTTTGTTAAGCTCAATTTATATGTCACAACATTACAAAGTTAAAAAAATTTTAATTTGGATATAGAATCTTTAAATTTATTTTAAAATAATATATATATATATATATATATATATATATATATATATGAAAATTTACGTACTCCATCCATCTCAATTTATGTGACACCTTTCTAATTTCATAATTCAAACAAGTATTTTTATTACCGTAATTTTTTCATATATATTTAAAAAATATTGAATTATCAATAATTGTAGCTTATACTAGTACTTTTTACGTGGTTTTTAAATATATATAAAAAAAAAAAAAACATAACTTAAAGACTTCCCGCCCGAATTCAAGGTCCAAACTAATTAGTTTGACTCTCAATATCAAAACAGTGTCACATAAGTTGAGACATAGTGAGTAAAAAAATACTATAACCCCTCAAAATATCTTTAAAACATAAGTAAGAAAAAAATATGACAAAAAAAAAACTTGTTTGACTTTTGAAATATCTCACATAAATTGAGACGAAAGAGTATAGATAGAACTTAGAAGGAAAAAGATGAGAAAGACGTACGGATGTAGAAAATGTTCGAAAAGCCAAGCTCTTAAAATATTGACAGATCGTTCAGGCAATCCTCTTTGTGGCCTCCAAGCTTCTTGTTCCATCATTCCCATTTGTTGAAAAGCTCTTTGTTGCCTCAAGCTTTGTTCAAGCACCTTAAGCCTTGGTGTTTCTCCTTTAGTCAGTCCTGAACTACTGCTTGCATCTTTTTCACCTAGTGCCTCACATGTCTTCTTCAATTGCGCCGCGACGCCATCTTTTAAACACTTGAAATGCCTAGACATGGCTTTCTGTGCTAGTGCTGTGTAAGGAACTGCAGCTCCAAAACCCATCACTAGATCGAATGAGTTTACAACTATCTGCATTTGTTCACAATAGTGGTTGTATCTTTTGTCTACCTACAAGCAAAGAAATAACAATCTATCTTATTTTTATACAATTAGGTTAACTACAATAACAAGAATTTTTTTTCTAATAACATGGAAAATTAAGTGCTGAATAACTTAGTATTTGATCTTGATTTGTCTATTTTAATCTGTTTAAAAAGAATAATGCATCTATCCTAATTTAGAAATTACTCGTTAATTTTAACTCTTACAATATGACATGTTTAAGACCATAAGTTTAAAGGATATTCTGATACAATATACGTATTCTTAGTTAATTTAAAACTACAAGATGCAAATGTGTTCGCCAACAAGGTAATGGAAGAGTAGTTCAATTAGTTGAAAAACATAAAGGTGCAGCTGGGAAGTTAAATTTCCTCAACAAGAAAACTATTAGAACTAAAATTTTGGCTTTATACCTTCCACTCAACCAAACAAGAATATCTTCATGGTAAATCAAATACTGATTGAAATAGTAACAAAAGAAAGGAAGAAAGATACATAAATTTATATTCTAATAAAAAGGTAGCAAGAAAGCTGATCGAGAGTATATGTGAACAAATAGTACATTGAAAAATGATTGTTGTTGTGAAGAAAGAATATCCTGTGTGTTTTGTTGCATGTGCCTTCGCTTAGCATTTTTTCAATACAGCAATAATAACACTATAATGTATTAAAAAAAAAGGAAGATTTACAAACATCACTTATTTTGTCTGTATTGAAATATGATGGTCAAATAAATAAAAGTGTACATTTAAAGGTAGTTTGATTGGGATGTCTACAAAATTTGAATTCGTGTCGGATAGTTCCATATTGGGGATAAAACGTTTTCTAACAAAGGCGACTCCTTATCCAGGAGAATTCAAACACGAGACCTTTGGTAAAAGATGAAGAAATACTTATCAGTCTACCACAACTCTTTTTTTTTTATTCAATCTACCACAACTTTGATTGGTGAATAGGATGTATTAGAATAGAATAATAGTGAATATGATGTATTAGAATAGAAATAATAAACCATATACTATTAACTAATGTCATGATTTACTATGTGTACTGAAAAGGGTATAACTAATACTACCAAATAAGAAATTAAACAATATCAAGAAATACCACTGTTATTTTCTCTAATACCTCCTATCAAACGCCGCTTAAGGATAATATCTACTTCTGGATTCCTAACATAGCAGAAGAAAGAAATATCTTGATGGTAGAGTGGGAGCTAATTTTATAACCAAAACAAAATCTTATGTTATGCTAAACACCCAAAATTAATAAGAAATCAAACTCAATCTATGGATATTACAATACATATTTAATTTCTTTCTAGCCGGCTTTATATATTCTCCTCTATAAAAGATTCCTCCAACTCCTACAATTTTCTATTCCTTCCCTTTCTTGTGGTTTAAATTTATAATCAACATATATAGTACTACTAAAAATAAACAACAATGATTGGTCATTGACCCCCGGATCGCGAATGTACCTCTTTGACTTCACATGAACTCAGTAATTTTAACTCAAATTATGTATATTGTAAGAAATTCACTAAACAAACATAAAAAATAAATTTTGACCTCATAGTAAATCAAGTTGTGGTAGAATTTCAAATTCGAACACATAATTTTCAAATTCTGAATAAATAGAGAGAGGGAGAGAGAGATTGTACATGCCTCATCAAGCATGGATAAAAGTTTGACCTTCCTTCTTTGATGATCAAGTCTATCTGCAGTTGACAAATTAGGAGGGATAATATCCTTTGAAGAAGATGAATTATTGTTATTACTTCCACTAGGGTTAATAATGGGTGATGTACTTGTGTTGTTATTCCTAGAAACTTTGTTGATTTTCTTGAACAATTGACCCTTCCCAACACAACAAAACTCTTCCAACAACTCTTGTGTTGCTTTGACATACTTTGAATTCCTCAACCCATTGACTAGTCCTAGTGATGACCCAAAACCAATATTATGATGATTTTGACTTTCTTGATTGAAAAACAACATTTCTCCTCCACTACTCATCCTCAAATCTTCCACTTTGGATGCTTCCAAATGTTGTAAAGTAGATGACAAGGACAATGAAAGACCTTGCCCTTGATCAATCACATTTACTCCTCCAATTGGATTTGAAGAAGTACTTGCTCCTCCACACATGAATTGACTAAAATGCCCTCCGACCGGGCTAGAAAACCCTTGATGAAGAGTTGAAGGAGTAGATTGTGATGGTGAACTTGGTTGTGGATTCATAAGAAAAAGTTGCATGGACTCCGCGGTATTTATACTTGGTACTTGATTGTGTTGACGCTGATAATAAGCAGTTACACTATCACGGTTACTCAATAATACCTTCGCATTCACATCATCTTTTGTATCCCCAAATGGTACCTGCAAACTTCCACCAACTACGATCTCTTGTCTGTTACCAAGCCACTCCCTGGTCAGAGGTTGATGATGTGGCTGTTGATTCGGGTGTCTATAGTTATTTGACAATTGATTCTGCAACAACTCAGTTGCAGCCGTGGATGTTGTCTGAAAATTGAACATTTCAGACAACATCCCGGCTGTCTCATAAACTTGGATTCCACTTGATTCTCCTCCTGGTGGCTCGAACCCTTGTTCTACTCTTAATTTTTCTCGTTGGATCTGGAGACCGATATGTTGTTGTTGGTGTTGTTGGACATCTTGAGGTCTCTCGAATTCATTCGAGAAACTAGCAAGACCTTGGTGATGATAGTCTTGAGACATTGGACTATTCTAAGAAATGGTTCAAAAATTGAAGCGTATCACCATCTCATCTGATCATTTTCTTTTGAATTTCTTCAACCATCACGATAAATTAACCCACCTCCTTCTTTTGTTGCAATTGGCTTCTGAGTCTACTATAGATCGAGCATAAAATAGTAAAAATAAATAAATAAACATAGAACAAAGAGATCATGGATACAACTATAATTGGGAACAAGGAAAGTATAAAAATAAAAGAAGAAAAAGAGAGAGAATAATCAAAGTAAAGACTTTTTTATTTTTTTCAATTTCTTTAAAAGAAAAAATTAAAAAGAAGTTGAATTTTATTTACCTCATAGAATTGCAGGTCGGAAAAGGTTGCAAAGGCTCTTATCAGCTATCGTTTTCACTTCAACAAATGAACAAATTTTTTTTTTCTTTCTCTTTGTTTGCGTGTATATATGTTGTTTGTAAGGCTGTCGTTTTTTGTTTTTTTTTTACTTTTCTTTCTCTATCTCTGTCTTTGTTGCTCTTTGTATTTTGCAGTGATTGTTGTCTCTGCAATTGCCTTCTGGAAAGAGAGACTCTAATAAGTAACAACAATAAAGTTTGCTTTTATAATGCAGATGGACTTGCTCTCATAATGTGAATTTTAACATGTATCCGTAGATGCGCGTTTGGACATAAAAATTATGAAATTAAAAAAGAATAAAGCATTTGTTATTAAATACCTTGGGTCCATTATTTAGGATAGTGGGGACATCGATAATGATGTCAAACATCGCATTGGTATAGCATAAATGAAATGGAGGCTTGTGTGATAAGAAGGTATCTTCTAAATTTAAAGGCAAGCTCTACAGAGTGATGGTTAACCTGTTCTTGTTGTATGGTGTGGAGTGTTGGTCTGTCAAGAGCTCACATGTACAGAAGATATATGTTGTGGAGATGAGGATGAGTGGGAATACTAGGAGTGACAAGATTAGGAATATTGAGGTTAATCAGGAGAAGGTGAGAGTGGCGGCCTTTGTGGCGGACAAGATGAGGGAAACGAGACTCATGAGATGGTTTGGATATCATGTTCATTTGCAGAAGAGGTGCACCGATGCCAAGTGAGGAGGTGCGAGAGGTTGGATTTTAGGGGGTATGTGGAGAGGTAGGGAAATGTCGAAAAGATATAGGGGAGATGTGATTAGACAAGATATGGTGCAACTTCATATTATCGAGGACACAACTTTAGATAGGAAAGAGTGGAGGTTGCGCATTAGGTAGAAGGCTAGTAGGGGTAGAGTGTCGTCTTGCCTTGTGAATATTTAGTGCCTTCCATAGGACTAGCCGTGCCCTTGTAGTTCTTGACATTTGTTGTTTATTGCTATTCAATTATCACATTATTTTGTTGTTGTTATTGTTTCTCTATTATAGACTTTACACTGCTTTTCTTGTTAACTACTCTGCTTACTCTAGTGTTTTCTTCTTCTTTTACTTCGGTTTGATACACTTGAATCAAGGGTCTTTCGGAAACAGTTTCTCTACCTTCACGAGGTAGTGATAAGGTTTGTGTACACTCTAACCTCCTCAGACCCCACTTATTGGAATTTCACTGGGTGTAGTGTTGTTGGAGAGTTATGTTTGGAAATGACTAGGAATTGAAGTTGTTTTTTATTAATTTTTTTTTTTTTGAATAATTTAGAGGTAAACGCCTCTTTTTCTCCTGAAGTTGTTGGAATTAATTACTCATAATAAGATATTAGTAAAAATTGTGAAAATGATTTTTTTTTGGAGTTTTTCGAATGCTAAAAAATTGTAATAATTACATGTCCAAATAATTTTGCTCTTTAGAGATGGTGATGACTTGTAGAAGATGAGTCGTTGGAGCATACTTAAGTTAGAATCATGCCTATAGCAAAGAAGGGGAAAAGGAAGAAATTTTAGAATTAAGAAATAGGGAGAAAGGTCGTTGTTCTTCTTGTTCACAATTCAAATTACCACTTGTAATTTCTCTATTTCAATGTTTTATTTGACGACATTTAATTAAATATTATATCTAATAGGAGCATGTCAATTGTGACTAATTATGCAACGGACATATAGTCAAAAAAAAATTATATAGAATAATGTGAAATGAATAGATGACAGAGCAGAAAATGACCAAGCTACAATAATTTGTACACCATCAAATTTTGCACACTTATCTAGATTATGATTGTTGAAGAGATAGTTGGTAATTAAATAAGATTAGGTTGAAAAGATATCTCACCATCATTTTAATAATTAATCAGACGCTAATCTATCATTATCATAACTTTGCTTATCCCCTCAATCAAACCCGGCCAAGGCTATAATAGTCAATTTGCATCGGCTCTTGATAGCAATAACATTAAACCCGGCCAAGGCTATAATAGTCAATTTGCGTCGGCTCTCGATAGCAATAACAACAGATTTTGGAGAAAAAAATGACTTATAAATATTTAATTTGATAGGTTATGTGTCACCTAATTCATTATATGCAAAGAAATATAGTCGTTTAAAGTTGATCTTTGCAGAAACTAATGCGATAAACTTCCAATGCCTTCCCACTTAAAGAATGAACCTTAACATAAGCACAAGTAAGACATCACCTGATTCAAGCTTATATACTTATGACAAAAGATTCAGATTCAAAAAATAAAATTACGATCTCTTATATATATATAAAATAAGTATATGAATTACACAATTTTTTGTTGCTAATGGGTGTTAGTTGTGTGGGCCTTTAATCTTCGCATCGACGTATGTATCGGCATGACTTTTTGTAAAAAATGATGAAATAAAATATTCATAATAAAGACGATTATCGTATATTACTTACTCGACACACTTTTATTATAGTATTTGAAATTTGAATAGATACTGTTATTTTTCTTTCGAATTACAATATTATTATTTGATTAGATCATATTTAGTATGTGTCTATAAATGAAATTAAATTAATAGTACTATTTGTTTTTTTTGGTGAGGCAATGCCGGATGACACTACATGGTGTCTCTACCACTGGTCATACTGGTAACTTTCTGGCCTTTCTTTGAAAAAAAAATAATCTTTAATCTTTATTAGAACCTGGCAAAAGGAAAACTAGAAATGAGTCAAAAACTGGAAAATAAAGAAACAAGGACGTGCAGGAGAAGTGACAAATCTTTTACTAAGAATCTTATGAAAAAAAAAACTAAAAATTTTAAGTGGCAAGCTAAAGTTTTTTAAAATTCTGCAAATATTTTATCAGTTTAATATTTTGTTTATAAATTTGAGAAATATAAGTAAATTAGATTCGAGCTTAATGTTGTTCGAAATATAATTTCTTAAGGGATTGTTTGATTTGAAGATAAGTTATACTAAATTAATTATCCTATATTATTTCTTAATGGTTATTTAATTTGTTATATTAAAAATAGTATACATGGTATAATTTCTAAAAAAATTGTTTGTTTATAAAAACACCCTTCATTTTTATTAAGTATTAGAAAAAAAGATTTAATGGACCACATAGATTTATTTTATTTAATCCCGATATTGTTGTTTCACTCTTATCCTGATACTAATTATTAAGTCTAATATAACTTATCCTTGGATTAGTAATTAAATAAGGAATAATGTTGTATTAAATTTTATCTCAGGATCAAATGATTATTGCATAAATCAACACTTTTAATGAATTTATCAGAATTTCAATACGAATATCAAACAGTTTCGGAGATGGGTAACTTTCAATTACCCTTTAGTCACAGTCTTTATTTGATCAGATGTTTTTTGCATGCTCCGAGGTATTTTGTGTGATTGTTACTTATGCATCCAGTACAGTTACTTTTCAATGAATCAACACCACACATGTTAATTTTGGTCAGTAAAAAATTGTACAAAGGTCTGCTATTTTTGTTTTTTACTTTTCAATTTTAGCAAATTCATTTTAAAAATTATTATTTTAATTCTATACTGTTCTTATTATTTTATATATAATTACGTATTAATAATCAAATTCAAATTTTCAAATTATAATTAATAAAATTGATACTTTCTTAAAAAATATGTCAGATCAATATGAATCAAATAATATGAACACGAAATGAGTACTAGTTGGCACCATGTATTATATACTCCTCCAAGCTATAGTGATGTACCATGTCAACAGTAGATGCATATAATTAAACAATGCGTCTTTTCTAAAAGATCGATGACATATTTGAATATTTTTCCTTTTAATAGATGCATAAATGTGCCTTTTTCGAAAGGTTAATGACATATTTGAGTCTTTTCTCTTTAAAAATAAAAGTAAAAAAAATGTTGCGTTTTATTTGCCCTGATTTCTTATCATAAATAGATATTCCTTTTAGGAAAAGATTTTAATATTTTACTAGTCTTTTTCGTATAGGAAAGGTTTTAGGATTCTATAAATATAAGTTTGTTCCTTCTAACTTAATTAGCATTTAGTCCTAGGGTTTTGAGAGTTGAGGTTATGGGGGAGAATTTTGTGTACCTCCTTGTATTTCGAGTGAATTGGTTGAGGTTGTTTCTGTCTATATTTTATACTATCATATTTATAGTTGATTGCTCATCTCCTTTGTGAACGTAGGTCAATTGACCGAACCACGTTAAATCTGTGTGTCTTTTGTTGTGTTTCTTGTTTGTCTTCTTACTTATGGTCTTTTGAGGTTTGCTTTGTTAGCTTCCGCGTTACACCTGCTTAATTTGATCTCAACAAAAAATACCACTTATTTTGAAAGGATCATCCAATTGCATTGAGTACTTTACAATGATATCATGTATTTATCTGTTTTAACGCGTGGTATCAACTGAGCCAGATTTAGTATACTGTTTTTGTTTTTACATTAACTGTAAATGTAAATATAAGATCGACACGTAGGTTTGTGAAAACTTAATTTTAGAAAGTTGAATGAGTCAAATGTGATAACTACTCTATCTATTTAGTAAAAAAAAAACTGTAGTTACATATATATAAAGGGTGTTTGTTAGAGGTTTTGCAATTTGTCACACTAAAAACTCAAAGAAAAAGGGAAATATCAAAATGAGAGAAACTTTCTAACTGCTAAGCAAATTAATGCTTGACAGGCTAACCCTCCCTTTCGATAGGACCACTTCACCTTTCAAAATATTTTTATTTTATAAGTGTGCAAATAAGTTATATACATTGTTGGTATCGTATGAACGAATTTTTAATTCACATTATCACGTTAGCTTAATAATATTTACATGTAAACCTCTTCTAAAATAAGAAATTAATATCTTAAACTCATAAGTTAAAATAATAGTTTATTCTCTGGGGCACCACAAAAAGTGTAGTGGGCTGAATAGTTGAGATATTTTATTTTGTCAAAGATATTAAATGGAACAATTATATAAAGTTACAAACTATTAATTCAAATGAAATGTTATAGTCATAGTTTATTTTATTTGTAATTCGCAACAAACATCTCTTTTTTTTTTGCCATCTGATTGGGTATACAATTAGCTATTTTCGGTATACAATTAGTTATTTTATACATTTCGGTATAAAATGTATTTGTGTTTGTATAAAGCGAGAGAAAAGTGTATACACAAATACAAATACATATAGTTTCGTTCTATACACTTATAATTATACAAATACAGATTTTATTATACAAATTAC